TTGCTGCTACTTAATACCTGCCGCACATTTAAATAATTTGGTGACCTGTTCGAGGCGGCGTCTGAATAGGAGATAAAGTCAGAGCAGCATTTCAAAATAGAAAGATTTCTCCCACTTCTTCAGTACCTCGCCAATGCCAACATGAAGTATGGGTGCGAAACATGGTCACTAACGAACGATGTGACGAAGTATGCGACAAAGCGGCAGATGGCCAAGGCAGCTCGTTTTACCAAATCACAGTACCGTTCAGATTTCTCTACTTGCCGGAAGCAGATGTGGAGCACGCCGCTGAGGAATGCTTCCGTTCCGAAGGAATGAGTGAAATCAATATTCAATCTTACGTTTTATTGATACACCAAGCGCAAAACTTACCAGACGGGATGACAGGACGTACATGCGTTGTTTTGACAATGCGCTCTATTTCGCTTTTCCCTTCCCATTCCTTGATTATGCCATGATAACCTTCCGGAATGTGACTTTTTATTAATTCATTCACCATATCCTCCAATAATATTTTCAAACGCCCATCCAGGATCCGCGACGGTATCGTAAAGTCTTAAAGTTTGTAAGATAGGTTCACTCACAAGCAAAGAATTCAACATTCTGAATTTATAACAGCACAATTGACCCTCGCACAAATTTCGATCCAGCAGCCCATGCTGTTAAAAGGCTGACAATTATTTCGTTTATGCTGAGCCAAAGTGGTTTGCACGTTCACTTGAGCAGGCCAGAAAAGCGTTTTCTGGTGTCATTTTAGAGAAACGCAGTGAATGTGACGGAAACATGGATTATCGGGTTGAATGTAACAGTGCTGAATAACCCTGAGTGTAACCATTAAACCTTCAGCTCAACAAGACGTAAAAACATTGATTTTTCCAGCAGCAGCTTCGAATGGAATATTACCGCGTATCCGTACCCAAAACTGTTACCCTGGATGAGAACAAAAATGAGCTACCTCTGCGACCAGCTGGCACAATACTTCGCATTGCGATTTCGAATTCCTTTCTTCCCACTTCCAGTGTATTCCAATCAATCGAAAGTTTGTCCTTCGCCGAGTAAATCTGAGGAAAACGAGATCGAAGAGCAACGAGTACTGCTTCCGTACAGAGACACTAAACAAAATCACATCATTCCTGAGCAACACAAGATTCGGTAAATTTACGCTGATTTCATTAAAAATATACACACGCAAATTAATTCTTCCTGCTAAACGTAGGGGATCAGATGCAATGCAAAACATTCAGAAAAGAAAGTCAAGGGGAGAGACAAGAAACCGGAATGAGATACGAAAGAAATAAAATTTCTCAAGAACTTGTCTTCTGGCCTCTTCGAATTATCCACAGCAATATTAAGAATACAGCAAATTTCTTGTAGCACTTGAACTAATCATTTTCTGTAAATCTGACATATTGCTTTCAAAGTTAGTCTGATTGCAAAAATTGCGCTATGCGACCGGGAAATAAGTATGCTGGCTGTGAAACATTTAGTCTGCAGCTTGTCATACTGAGATTAAAGAACAAAAAAAAAAAAAAAAACCTGGAAAGGAAAAGAGCCAATCTCTAAGCCAGCATTCCTAGTGCACTTGAAAGGTCACCCAAGATGAATCCCAGACAACGCAGGATGACAGGTTAAGTCACTCACAGACAATTTCACTGTATACACGTAACGAAGGTCCCCCTTTTAGAATTGGAGCAAGATACAGTACGACTGGGATCAAAAAGTACCGTATAACTCTTCATTAGTTCTAATTTCAAGAAAAGACGAGGAAAATCACCATAGTGTAAGCAGATTACGGCGTCATATGGTAGCTACGACAAACTGAAAAAAAAAACTGAACCTTTAAATCAGCGCCGCAGTATCCGGAAGTTCGCTCGGAAAGCCATCTTAACAGCTCGCATGATGGTTTGTTTTCGGCCCATGATGCTGTATGGATTTTCATAATTTCTACTCTCGCACTCTTATCTGGTAAGCTGTAAAAACGATGCGGCCATCTCATGGTGTGGAATATCAGGCAATTAATCTGCATTTTTCTTACAAAGAACAGTGAACTGCCCAACAAGATCTATGCTAGAAATAAACTATCTCAAGCTGATCATCGAACCATCGAAATTTGTCAATGAAAAAGGATAGATGAGCTTCAAATCCCTCTCCTATACAATCAGCTTAGGAATTTGGCACTGAAAAAGCCAGTGCAATCAAACGTACCAAAAACTCATTTCTCGATCAAATCGTCCAGGCCGTCTTAATGCAGGATCAATCGTGTCCAATCTGTTCGTTGCCCCGATCACAACTACCTGCAAAGAATTTGTAAAGAGAAGGGGCCGGTATTACACGATTTATTTGTATAAACCTCGATAATTTTACCCCCAAAGTAATAATTTCTTCAAGCCATTAGTGTTACTAGCGAAGCTGCGCTGGCATAAATCTCTCTATTCACTAATAACCTTTCAGTGGTTTCTCTGACACTGTGCTGATAACATTCAACAAGCAGTGCTCATTTGTCGCACTCCACCCCCTTCTCTAAAGCCTCCTCACACCTGTGTACCCCAGCTCTTTCTCTAGTTCCGTCATGCCAGATAATACACACTACAGAATACAGCCTAATGATACCAACTCTAACCACTGTGTATGACTTGGTGAGCACCGCTCAACAAACGCGGTATATTTCGAACCTAAAGGGCAAAAAAATGAAAGAAAGCAGAATTAAAAAATTTCGCTTGCTAGTATTTTGATAACTTGGCAACGGCTAATCATCCTGCATTTTTTAGCCCACTTAGCTCCGTTTTCAGCGGCTGCTGAAAACGGAGCTAAGTAGGCTGGAAAATGCAGGATGATCTTATACATACAGATCTATTTTACAAACAGATCTATTTTTTGAAAGCGAAATCGAAGATTCTTTTCCGAACGTGTGCCTCAAATTTTTGCAAATTTTTTTTTTTGAAAATCTCCTAACAGAATAAACTAGGCCGGCAATTCAAAAGCTATCGCAATGTACACAACAAACTTCTCAGGCATAGTGCTTTAGCTCTTCAAAATAAAGATGTTTAGCAGACTGAAATAAGAATGACACAACGAGGAGAGACGCACAGTAGGAATCACAATACTGGAAAAGTACAACAAACAGTGCTGGCAAATTTATATGCCTGACTGGATACCATTCTCCGGTACTATTTCTAGCGTTCCTGTTGAAAACAGTGCTGGCAGGGATGCCGAACTTTCGCCTTTTCAGAAAATGACATCAAATCCGAGACATCAAATATTCCCGTTCCGGAGAGTTAGCATGTTAATACATTTAATTTAAAAGCTGTAAGACAGCTTGATCATTTTGAACGAGATACCTCTCCGCGATTTTCCAATCCATCCATGAGTGCCAATAAAGTTGAAACAATCGAACTATGCACTTGATCCTGCTTGGAACTTCGAGTTGGTGCCAAACCATCAATTTCATCGAAAAAAATTATCGATGGGCGCATCGAATAAGCTTGTTCAAACAAAATCCTAAAAATAAAACTTAATTCTTTCTTAATGCAGCACAAAGATCCACTCCGTTCAGGACGCGTTGATTCATTTCTACGCACATCTACGGCACTCGTCCAAAATTAGTGCTGCAGAACATGTCAATAGCCTCGACATCTTGCTTGTAAAAGCCTATACGAATAAACGAGTAAACACACACACACACACAACAACACATACATACGCACAGCACACACACGCTAATCAAAGTCTCCCAAAA